AGGTCAAGTTTCACCTTCACGATGAAGTATCTTGAGCCAGAAGACGATTCAGAGGCCACTCGCCAAGAGCTTTGAGTTCGATTTCAACTTCACAACGAATGATATCGTGCTCAGAAGCTTCCAATTCAACTCGACCTCACGACGGAGGAGTCATCCGCAACTCAATTCGACATGGAGTTATTGAAACATCAGAGTCAATTTTCAACTCCACCGAACGAAAAACATGTCTTTTAATCTTTGCCCTATCCTCGTTACACGACTATGAGCAAAGAGGGGCAGCTGTCAACACACCTTTTCCTCCGGGTACAACACTCTCAACAACCCCGATTTAGTGGGATTTAGAAAACAAATATAACGTTAGAGTTTTACTAGGATTCAAACTCCTAAAAATAGGATAGAGTTTTACTATGATTCAAACTCCTAAAAATAGGATAGAGTTTTACTATGATTCAAACTCCTAAAAATAGGATCTATAAGCATTATAAATAGTCATTATAACTCACTATTGTAACACACAATTTATAGACGAAATACGAACAGAAAATTTGGAGCAAACAAAGCATTTTTTTCCAAAGTTTCGAAGGCAACAATGGTAAAAAACCTTACCTTTTTCGGTTGTTAGGCTTGCATGTGTCTTTTGTTTCTTGCTTTCGATTTGTAAAACCACAAAAACTTAAAAGGCCGATGACCGGAGGGGTTTTTCTCGAAACTAACTTTTTAGATCTACGGAACCCCGGGGCTATTTTGTGAAAATCGTTCGGATATTTTATCGTTCGGTCATTATATTTTATATGTTTTATCTTTTTTTAAATTTATTATTATTTTTTAAAATATTTTATTTATATGGATATTCATTATTTTTTTATCTTATTTTATTTCATTTCCCTACAATTATTATATTTTTTTCTCTATTATTTATCTATACATATTATTATTATATGTATATACATTTTTTCCATTTATTTTTTATTTATTGCAAATATTATATTTATTATTACATATATACATATATTTTATTTATTATTCTTATACCTTCTATTTTTATTTTCTTTTATTACTCTTTACTTTCTGTTATTATTATTATTATTATTCTATTTTATTTATTTCTATTTACCCTTTTTTTCCTCTATTTCATTTTTATTTTTATTCTTTATCTTTATTTTTTTTATCTTCTTTACATTTGTTTTATTTATTTGTATTTTCTTCTTATTTTTTATTTACTCGTTTATTATGTATATATTATTATCATTATTATTTTTTTCTTCATTTTATTTTTCTTATCATATTCATTTTTATCTTCACTCTTTTTTTATTCCTTTATTTCGGTCTTTTTTTTATTTTCTTTATTCTATTTATTTTCATTTTTTTATCTAACACGTTTCTTGACTCTCTTAAGGGTATACCTTTAAAACTATCTAAGGTAAGTAATTAGAATCGTATTTTTACCTTTTAATTTTAAACTACAATTTTCTTAATTTAAGACAACTGGAAATTGCGTAGTACCAAAAGGGCAATTCAAGGGTGCTAACCCTTCCTTGACTGTAACCGACTCTCGAATCCGACACATCTTTGAAAAGGCGCAGATCATGTAAGAAATATGGTATTTGATCAACTCATTTGTTTTAAAATAAATGATCGGTGATGACTCCAATTCGTTTAATCCAAGTCGAAGCCCAATTCCGAGACCCACCCGAAAGACGGTTCCGACAGTAAGTAACCAAACTTTAATAAAACGATAACATAAGTGACCATAAGTGTACAAATATGAAATAAAAATGACCAAAACTTAATTCACGTATTATCTACGTGAAAATTATATAATTTTAATCTTATATATTTATTGTGTCATATCAACAAATCATTAAAGATTTAATGATCGTTAACCTTAAGTGACTACATCTTAATTAAAAAAATAAAATGATTAAATTTTAAAAAAAATTTCTAGTGAAAAATTATAAAATTCAAACGACTATTTTTATAATTTTTCATATTTTAAAATTATCTATACGCACGCTCGCACACAAACGCGTATACCTTGACAAAATAGGCAGGCACAATTTGGTGATAAGCTAATTTAACTAACATTACGCCTATCATAATAATGGTTGGCGTTGAAAGTAGGCTGGCACAATTTGGCAGCCGACTGTCATACCGGAAAGGTGGGGCCTTTTTGGCCCAATAACCATTAGAATAATAATTTAGGGATTTATTTATCATCCAATATTATTTAGGGATATACGTTATTTATTATAGTGTCAGACTAACTCATCACCCTGAAATGATGAATTTCACGTAATATTATTTTTTTAATGGAATTGAATGAGTGGATCACATGTGAACCGATAATTTATTATTATTACTGAGATTCGTTTCAAAAATATTTTTTAATTTATTAAAAAACAATGTTAAAAATATAAATAAAAAAAGAGTGGAACTCGACACCTCGAGGTGACGAGTTTCTTTGAATTTAAAAAACTAGCCGTTGATCAATGGGCAATTGTGCAACAGTCGCTTGGTAACAGTCACTTGAAACTCGTCATCTCAAAGTGACAAGTTCTATCAGATATTTTAATTATTGTCGTTGGAATTGAGACTATAAATAGGGGTTTTGAGTTTTACTTTTTCATCAAACCTTAAATCCGTAAATATTTTTGAAAAAACTGACTTCTGTGAAAATCTCGAAAAATGGTTTCCCAAGCAGAAATGTTGCACATCGACAACGTCCATATTTCGTCGATCGAACTCTGGCCAGAAGAAGAACGACACATTTGTTAGCGCGAGATGATTGCGAGAGATCCGCATCAGCAGATGTTGATATATCTTCAGTAATATGGTCTTTTCCTGCCATATTTTCAGGCTCTGATTGAACTTTGACGGCACGAGACACATGTCTTCCATTTCTCGAGTGGTGAAGTGACGATTTCTTTGGAATACGATATTTACCAACTCGGTGTTCCCGTGAATGGAGCCCCGTGGTGAGGTGGAACAATTACGAGCCCAAGACGTTGGTCTATGAAGTTTTGGAAAAGATGTCACCATCCGAGTGCATCGATGGATATCTGTTATGAATGACGTGGTTGGAGCCCAACTTCTAAGTGACCAACGACACTACCGAGGACAAGGTTATTTTTGCGTCCCGAGCATATATTCTCCAACTGATCGGAGGGATATTATTACCGTATAAGTATGATAATTTGGCGCTCACTCAGTATCTTCGAATATTAAATAACTTCGTTGAGTGTCGTAATACAGTTGAGGCTAGATTTCGACTATTCTCTCTATCTCTGAAATTACGAAGCAAATGAGAAACCATATCTCACGACACCACAAGATAAGGGAGAATGGGAACGACGTCAGGCCAGATTCCCCAGGTCCAAGAAGAAATCATTGGCGTTTTCTTCTTCTGCTTCAGCATCTACAGTTGAAGAGTACTATAATGCTTCTCAGACGAGTTTTAGTTTCTATCATGCATATCATACTTCAACCGAGACTTAGTCGACTTGGGCGTGAGGTTTATGGGATGCAATGCAACACACTCAAACATCTTCGACAGAATATGCGGTTTAGGGTGAATGAGATCACATCGTATATGGTCACATAGCCACCAAGTCGATTCAGTAATGGTAATGATGTCGTCAAATACAATAAGCCCATCACCGTATTTTGAATGTGGATCTTAGAGGATCTCAAAGTGTGTTAAGTACACCTCAACGACAAGATGAAGACGATGACGTTGACAACGATCCTGTCATACTCGACTAGCCCCACGCCATTATCATTCAACCACTTTTTGGCATCGTTAAGAACTTAGAAAATATAAATAAATTTTATTAGTTAGTAAACAATGTTCTTTCAATAAAATTTTTTTATTAATTTTTTTTTTTAAAATTTAACTCAGGGGAACTCGTTAGCTCGAGATGAGGAGTTCTAGGTGACTATTGTCAAGTGACCGTTGCACAACTGTCCGTTGACCAATAGTTAGTTTTTTGAATTCGAAGAAACTAGTCACCTCGAGTTTCACTCTATTTTTATTTTCTATTTTTAAAATTGTTTTTCAATCAATCAAAAAATATTTTTTAGACGAACTTATCATCTCGACTTGATGAGTCACAATAAAAATAATAAATTATCGACCCACGTGAAATCCATTCTTTCGAATCTATTAAAAAATAATATTTCGTAAAACTCATCCTCTTAAAGTAATAAGTTCGCCCGATACTATAACAAATATAGTAAATCGTGAATAATAACGGATGATGGGTAAATTTCTATTGGGGAAAAAAGCCGGAAAGGTGGTCCATTTAACAATGAACCGACTTTTGACTATTAAATATTGAAAACTCACAAGATGAATCAAAAGTTGACCGTGTGAATTGAATACATCAAATAATTTTTTTGGTTACAATTTATCAAATAATTTTAATAATTAAAAAGAGTGATATTTTGTTGAGTGATTATTGATGTTTTTAAGATGTATATATATATATATATTCATTAATTGAAAGAATTTCAAATAAATTTTATTTTATTATTATTTCATGATCAACTATGTGAAGATTACTCAAACCAATTATTAATTTCAATGGTATTTAATAGTTAGACCGAAACCTAACCTAACGTATATTAAAAACGCCTAGGAACTTTAATTTCTCGCCCAACAAACAACCTCCTCTAAAAAAGAATAGAAGTGGAAGATATATTTTAATAAAATAGGATTGGCCACATAAACGTGAACATGTGTCAATGATATTTCATCCAATGATAATGCTGTCGGAGTTTCAGATTCCGCCACGTGGATTTTGGAATGCCCATAACTGGTGCATGTCGCATCACACTAGTTGTTCAGGTTCATGAGCGAGTGGCTTCGAATTCGTGAATCATTTTCTCCCTTGTCCTTCCCTAAGAGCACTTGGAGATCTGTTCATTTTGTTGTCTTTCTTATCTTCATAAACCAGAAGTTGTTTTCCTTTAATAGGAAGAAAAACCAAATTTTGTTTATTTAAATAATCAACAAGGCCTTGTAAGTTGAAAAAGGCAAGATTCCTTCCTTTTTGGTGAAGGAACAATGGCTACAACTTTGTTTCGAAATCCTTCGGCAACTGTTTTCACAGGAACCCAATTTCCAGTTTCCATTTCCAAGTATGTTTCAAAAGAATCCTCGCCTTGTTTGCAATGTAATCACAATCTTAGAAACAGAGCAAGTAAGCAAAACAAGGGGCTTTTACAAGTCAAAGCTACTGTGGCAGATGGTACCCAAAGCGTTTCAAAGACTACTGAGAAGAACGAATTTGATGGTAATCAAGTGGAGAAGAAGAAGAAGAAGCTGAGGATATTGGTTGCTGGGGGAGGTATTGGGGGGTTGGTTTTTGCATTGGCTGCAAAAAGGAAAGGTTTTGATGTGGTGGTGTTTGAGAAGGATTTGAGTGCTATAAGAGGCGAGGGGCAATACAGGGGACCAATTCAGATTCAAAGCAATGCATTGGCTGCTTTAGAGGCTATTGACATGGAAGTTGCAGAGAAAGTTATGGAGGCTGGTTGCATCACTGGAGATAGAATTAATGGACTGGTTGATGGGGTTTCCGGAACTTGGTGAGTTGTTAATGATTCTTGTTGTAAGTTTTCTCTTTTCCTCTTAACTGTTGAAACTATTCAAAGATTAGAACCCAGAAAGTAGAGAATTTGTAGATGCTATACAGTTGAGTTGAGGCTCATCTGGTGAACTACTAGGAGAGGCACTGTTGAAATTTTGTTGATGTTATTACACTTAATTATACACGGTTTAAACAGGTACATCAAGTTTGATACATTCACCCCTGCAGCAGAACGGGGGCTGCCGGTTACAAGAGTTATTAGTAGGATGACTTTGCAAGAGATCCTGGCTCGAGCGGTTGGCGAAGACGTAATTTTTAATGAGAGTAATGTTGTTGATTTTGAAGATGACGGAAAGAAGGTAATATGAATTGATCATTGGTCAAGATGGTCTGTCTCCTTAACAATCATTGTATCTGAAGGAAAGCACGAAATGTTATATTTATAATGTTTTTTTAGTGTTCAGCAAACTGGTTTTACTGCTAATTTTTTGTAATTATGTAATTTAAAAGTTCAGGTCACTGTTGTTCTGGAAAATGGAAACCGTTATGAAGGTGATCTTCTGGTTGGAGCTGATGGAATATGGTCGAAGGTACACTTTTTTTTAATCTATTTATACACGATGAACATAATCTTTGTCTGTTTAGATGCTAGACTGTTAGCAACATGGTCTTAAGCTTGATTTGAGAGCATGTCCATGATGATTTGATTATCGGTTTTTCCACTATGCTGTTTCGAAGCTGAATCAGTTGCTGAAACGATAGCTAAAATTGAATCATACTAGGAAAACTCAGGTATAGGGAAACATGAGTCGACTGCAAAGACAATGGACTGTTTGACCTTTTGGTACCAACAGAAAACAAAAGTAGAAACTAATCCTTAACTCTAAAGTATAAGCTTAGGTCAACTACATGCATTCTTTTCATTTAGTTTCCCGTAATTGAGCCAAATAAAGATCTAAATGTAACATGACGTTTTCACTAGTAGCGACACTGATTGTTTGCGACTAGTTGTTTAAACCATGAAGTGTTGAAGTTATATCTTAGTTTGTTAATTCTCTCTTTCAGGTGAGGACCAACTTATTTGGGCCAACAGACGCCGTATACTCGGGCTACACTTGCTACACTGGTATTGCAGACTTTGTGCCAGCTGATATTGAATCTGTTGGGTATGTTCCATTTTGTTTTGCGAAATATGATTGACTTTACCGCTTTACATTTTTTTTCTTCATAATACCATTAAAATGCATTGGGGTCTTGATACTTGTATGTGCTTACCGAAACTTCACCTGTGAAGGTACCGTGTATTTTTGGGACACAAGCAGTACTTTGTTTCCTCGGATGTTGGAGCTGGAAAGATGCAGTGGTATGCATTTCACAAGGAACCGCCTGGTGGTGTAGATACCAATGGTAGATAACCTCACATGTTTTATTTATTAGAATTCAGTATGTAAGCCAGCAAAACCTTTGAAGAGGCTTTAGTTGCCATGGATTTTCTTTGGGTTTTCATTTCAAATGTGTACATCTGTTAAATTTTCAACTAATAAGAGTGTTCATACTGAATGTTCCCAACTTATTACAGGATTTGATTGTCGATTCTAAAACTGGTTTCTAAGTTTCTTGCTTTCTTTTTTCATCTTTTTGCAGGTAAAAGGGAAAGGTTACTTGAAATATTTGATGGTTGGTGCGATAATGTGATAGATTTGTTAGTTGCTACTGATGAAGATGCGATTCTTCGACGTGACATATATGACCGAACACCCTCTCTAACATGGGGAAGGGGGCGTGTAACCTTGCTTGGGGATTCTATCCATGCAATGCAGCCAAATATGGGTCAAGGGGGATGTATGGCCATTGAGGTATGACTTAAGCATCGCAAAAGATTAAATGATGTTCTAAGTACTGCTGGTAGTGTAGTTTAATAGTATCTATTATGTTTTCCGATCAATAAGAAGGATGTCGGGTCATCCTAAAGAATCCTGTTCCAAATGAATACTTCCTTTTTTCCCTCCATCTTTGCAGGATAGCTACCAATTAGCGTTAGAACTTGATAAGGCATGGAATGAAAGTGTCAAGTCGGGGACGGCTGTTGATGTTGTATCTTCTTTAAGGAGGTATGATAGCATTTTCCTTTCCCCCCCCCCCCAAAATAGTGGAAAGGGTTAAATATTAGAAAAGGGAGGTCAGAACTGCATGTATAATGGACATTTTTTGGTCTTGCTTCAACCCAAAACTGACTCGTTGAATTCGCAGCTACGAGAGTGCTAGAAAGCTCAGAGTTGCGATCATCCATGGAATGGCAAGAATGGCTGCAATCATGGCTTCAACTTACAAGGCTTATTTAGGTGTAGGGCTAGGTCCATTATCGGTAAGAATCCATTTTAAGCAAGTAATGATCTAAAGTGAAGAATTATGCAAAATCTGCATGCATGATCACCATGGCATCTGAATTCTTTGCAGTTTTTGACAAAATTTCGGATCCCTCACCCAGGAAGAGTTGGTGGCAGATTTTTCATCGACTTGGCGATGCCTGTAATGCTCAGCTGGGTTTTAGGTGGTAACAGGTTAGAGCTATGAATGTTTTCGTCTGCTTATTTCTTTACCTCCTTTCAAGCTTGTTCGATTATGGAACATCATTTTAGAAGAATTAGCTTTCTCTACCATATTTCATTTTCCAATTTTTTTCTTAGTTTCAAATCTTCCACATTGATCTGAGTTCTCTGTTACTATTCTTCTCTTTTGACAAGACTCGTGTAATGGCACTGTGAACCTATGGCTAATAAAGAGTTTAGGTTCTTTCAAAAAAAAATAATAATAATAATAAAGAGTTTATGGTGAGAACTTTTGAAATCTCAAAAGAAGGCTTTAAATCATGGAAAGAACGAAACGAGATTTAGTAAACTGTCTAAGATCTTAGGACAATGTTTCTGATTTCTTCTTCCTTCTAACAACGAATTGACATGTCTGCAGCTCAAAACTAGAAGGAAGATCCTTAAATTGCAGACTCTCAGACAAGGTATGTTGCTTTCGTCCTTCCACTTCTTCATTAATGGATCTGGGAAATGTTTGAAACATCTGTGAAGTCATTTTTCAGGCAAGTGATCAGTTGAGGACATGGTTTGAAGATAATGATGCATTGGAGGGGACTATTATTGGAGAGTGCGTATCATAGTTCTATATATGTGAATTCCAGCATATTGTTTGACAATTTATTAAACGTTATAGACTCTTATATTTCTTATCATCTCTGTTTCGCAGCTGGTACTTGTTGCCCGTTGGAAACGAAGCAGTTACCTCACAACCTATTTGTTTAAGTAGGGATGAAAACAGAACTTTCATGATTGGGTATGTATTTATTCATAATAGGTTTGTTTACACAACCGTGTTCCTTTTAAATGGACTTTGTGTTTTCATTTCTTTCGGTTTTTGGGAAATGGGTGTTGGAAACCAGGGTAAAAAGCCAACTGATGGGGGGCTTTTCTAATAGAAAATTATGTCTGTTGCTGTGTAATGATCATTGCAGGAGTGAAAAGAACGATAAATTTCCAGAAACGTCAATAGTGATACCTTCAAAGCAGGTGATTTTCGACTGTTTAAGAACCCTGATCTGGAGCTAACATACTTCCTCACTTGTGTAACAATTTCATGTTGAATATCTCTCAGGCATCCAAAATGCATGCTCAAATCAGCTATAAAGATGGTGCATTTTTCATAGTTGATTTGCAGAGCGAGCATGGGACCTTTATCGAGTAAGTCAGAAGCAAGGAAACATCTTTATGTATATATGCCAGTTAAATTTCCTGGAATTTCTCTAAAAGCAAACTCTGAACGTGCAGCCATGGAGGAAGAAGATCGAGGGTGCCCCCGAATGTTCTTACTCGTCTTCGTCCCTCTGATGTTATCGAGTTCGGTTCCAATCACAAGGTAAAAACTAACACCTATCTATGAATTTGCGTTCTACCACCTTTTTCCTGACTTGAACCTCGTCTTACATCCCGAGCAATGTTCAGGTAGCGGTCCGGGTAAAGGTGATGAGATCACATCCGAAGATGGTTGAAAAGGAAGCTGGTGGAATCCTTCAGGCAGTCTGAAAATCCATAAACCTGTCATTTGTCGAAATCATGGCATTGTCCAGTATTTATCTACAGTGGAGTGATTGAAAAATCTACATTTTTATTGAAGTTACACAAAGAAGTCATATACCCCTGTATCACAACAGAAACTGGAAATTTCAACCGGAAGTATTGAATGAATATGTGAACATTTGATGGTAGATTTAAGACACGAAGTAAATTGCCTTGGAAAAATCTGGAAATAATTTACCCGATATTGGTCCCAACTCCAATAGAAATTCAGTGAACACTGAACAGTGCTCATGTGAAGGTAAGTAGGTCGCTGTTTGAGAAATCCCAAGTTCGAAGATCCATCCATTTCCATGCAACGTTATCTTATCCATCTATCTAATAATCTGTGGCACTAAAATCCAGACTAAGCTATTTACGGTCTACTTTTGCTTGACAAAAAGCGACGCACATGTTGCCAATCAGACTCTTATCCTTTTCAAAAAGCCCAAAGATGAGACACCATCCCTCATTCTATACCCTCTAGAAACACCAGCAATAAGCCAATGGTAGCTTAATAAAAAGTTGATTTTGGACACTGACATTGGATACTATAAAAAATATATAACGATGACACAAAAATACAGATATATCCTGTGCAAACAAATGTCATCGAAGGGGTAAAAAGCCCATGTCTCATTGATAGAACCTCACCGTAAACGAGTCCCAGTTCTGGGAAAATGGCGTTCTCTTTGCATTTGCATATTCAGATCTAGGATATGCATGCACTGTGCACATATTGTCGTTTCTACTGGGCCAAAAAATAAAAAAATAGAAAATAGGGCTGAAAGCTGTGGGGAACGATGGTATGTGAACCCACTAGCAATCGGTTCCGGTGGTGGATAGTGGCGGTGGCAATGACCGTTGGAACATTAAATGTGTGTTCTGTTTCATTACACTCACTTGGGATAATATTTATCATTTTATCACTTTGGATAATATTTATTTTCATTTTTTTGTAATAATAGATGTGGTTTTGTCATATATAATTATAATGTCCAAAAAAATGTAGTGGGCAAGGGGGAGAGTTGGCATGATCATATATCAAATTTACCACTGTACAATTATGAGGTATTCATTTTCGCTCAACCGCAATCTGCTTATGTTATTAGGTAAATTAGGTATTCAGTCATCTATCTATTCCTGTAATTCTGTTTTAGTCATTTAAATATTTTTATATTAGACACTATTATATTTTGATCATTTATTGTAAAAAAGTTAACTATGATACTATTATATCATTGTAAGATAACATCACGTTATTAGTGAAAAAAATAAAAATATTACGTCATCACTTATTAATTTAATTTAATTTTAGTGATAAATAATCAAAATATGATACTAAATATAATTTTGAGAAAAATAATTGAGTGATTAAAATAGAATCACAAAAATAATAGATGACATTATACTTAATGTACTCATTTCTATGCCATTATCCGAAAATAAACCAATATGATCTGATCCTATCTGAATTTAATTGCTTTGATTTTATTATTGTTCGTAAGTTATATGTATATTAAGAAACAACATACAGCAACAACTCGTGACGTGATCGACATTTGGTTCAAAAATAATACATTTAAAAAAAATTCAAACTATCCCATTCACGTCTTATGTACGGACCATTTTGGACCCCGCATCACGTGCCCCACTTTTTCAAATTTCTCCCCCCCCCCCAGCTGAGTCATATGCTGCTCTTCCATATTTCCTCAAATTTCAACTGAGAATACAATAAATTTATATTATTATTAATTATATTGTATAATTATTTTGTCAACGAAATCATGATCATGTCTTGTCAAGTTCAATTTTATAAAACATGGTGTTCAAGAGATTGGAACTCAAAAACAAATTTTTTGAATAATAAAAATATGTTTAATTCTCCAATTTCAAGAATTTGTATTGAAAATGATAATAACTTTTAAAAGTATATGAGAAGGAAAGTAAAATAATATATATATTTAATGTAACAAAAATATTAATCAGAGTTTAATCTATATAATAATATTTTAAATGTAATTAATTTATCTAAATGTCTTTAAATAATTTGCTTGTCAAAGACGACATTGTTCCTTTATGTTGAGGAGATCTAGTTATCACAAATCCTTCTTTCCTAAAAGGTTTGTAAAAAATTGTGCACGCATAAATGCAATAAAAATTGTGCACGCATAAATGCAATTATTTTGAATATTTTCATGAATGGCAATGTGAAATTCATTTTTTATTAGTATGATGTAATTTCAAGAGAAATCTTAAAGGTACCAAAGCTTCTTATATTGCATGTAATGATGAATGTTTGACGCAAAGATGCATGTTTTATTGATCAAGGGTCAGGGGCGGATGCACAAACATTCTTCATTCTTCCCTGATTTGGTCATCTTCATTTTTTTTATTCTGTAGAAGAGTGCTTCCTTGCAATTCTTGATTTTTGTCAACTTGTTCTTCTTGCCCAGCAAATTTTACCCCAAAATTGCCATCTTTTTTACTCCAATTTTGATCATGAACTTCTATGTCTGAAAGACATTTGATAATTTCCAAGATTTGCTCCCAGAGAGACTGTAATGAAGAAGTTTTGAAAATGTTTTATGAAAGAATTTTGAGAAATGTTTGGTGAAAGAATTTTGATAAATGTTTGATGAAGTTTTGAAAAATGTTGTCCCTTACTTTAGGTTCACAATTGAGACAAATTACAAAACAAGAGTTCATTAGATATTAAAAGGATTAACTACTTTCTAATCTTTCAAAGTTATGATTCATTAACAAGTGTAAAGATTTGATTGGTTGATTTTAGATTGGCTTCCTAAATTTTCTATGGTTTCTTTTATCAAGTTGTCATTCTTTTTTTCCTGAACATTATGGCATTCTACTCATTCTCGGGTTGACATTTTAATCAGATGTAGACGAAATGATGTAACTAGCATGTTCAATTGGTAGACTTTTTAGAATACCTCTATTTCGGTTCTCTAAAATATTTAATTTGTTCAAGCTTCGTAGATTCCTTTAATAGGGGCAATGTTGAGATTTCAGTCTAAAAATGAAACTCCTGAGTGCTCGTGTGAAGTTGACTATAACAAGTGTTCCTTAACTCCCTTAGTACATCTTCACTGAAACTCCTTATTTATTAAATTTTATTTAATTTGCCTTTGTTCGACTTGTTGAATGAATCTATCAATAAAACTAGGGCTTTTAACCAATTTTTTTTTAAGGAATAGCTCAACTTTATTGTATATATACATATATATTCTTAATTATATTTGCCTCTATAAAAGAATCTATCCATAAAGCTAGGGCTTTATAACCAATTGCTTTAAAGGGATAACTCAACTTTATTGTATATATATAATTACATTAACTTCCTAAGTATATGGATTCAAATTATTAAGCTCCTCGAGAAGAACCTATTATAGTTTGAGTGTCATTGAAGGTTAGCAAATTTTATCCTTAGAGTTTGCTTCCCAAGCAAATGACCTAAACTAAATTCATCTACTCGACTATTCTATCTGGAAAGATTATAACCATCATCGAACGCCCTAAAAAAGTGTAATCTAATATGCTTTGCAACCTCATATGCAAGATGCCCTATTTTATCTGCTCCTATACATACCTAAATATCAAACCATTCGATTGTCTCTTATTGAGAGGAGAAGACTATCTTGATCCCTATAAGAGAAGGGTATTATGTTCGGGTGTATCTTTTGGAGTATGATCAAGGATCCTTGTTTTACAAAGGTTCAATCTTGTCACTTGCCAAAGAGGCTATAGCTTTAATTCTCATGAGAGTTTTTAATTCAAATGATATTTACAAAACTACAAGATTAAAATTTGTTCATTGCTCATAACCTTAGAAGGTGACATAAGTTTCATTGTCTTACAAATGTTTAAGTAAATAAAGAAAGAAAGTACAAAAAACAAGTTTAAACAAAATAATATGTTTTCAACACAAGTGCAATTAAATTTCATGGTAGATGCAAATGAATTATTATCAGTTCACATTGGAATGATCCATTATTCATTGAATGTCCATTATTCTCAATAGTGTGCCTCGAGCTTATTATGTGATAGATGCAAATGGCGTCAACATCGTAGTCCTCAAAATATGAGGGTTTTTTTGTCTTAGAATGAACCAGAGTTACAAGATTCTTCTCAACAAGCGTTAGGAGCAATTCCTTATATGTGATTGGAATTGGATCAATATGATTTTTTCTCTAACAATCTTGTGATGTTTGGTCCTATGATTAGCTTAATAGGATCCCACCATATTTATCTCAACTTCTAACTCTGTGTCAACACTATTAATGCCTCATATATTGCCATTCTTGACAACTTTTTAATCATCTCTTCACACATGACAGTGTTAGAGAAATTCTTAGTGGTAACCCCTAGCATGTGGTTGATATAAGGAGATTTTATTATGTCGATGAACATGGTGATGAACTCTCTTTTGGTCATCGGTGAATACAATTGAGAAGCAACATCCACCTATTACTGTGCACAATGTTGGAAGCTCTCGCTATGCTTCATCTCCATGTTTTGTAACATTGTTCAGTCAGGTGTCATATCTGTCATGTGTTTGTATTAACCCAAAAAAACATGAGCTAGGTTATTTCAGGAGTGGATTTAAGTGCGTCTCATTTGATTATACCACTTAGAAGCGGGTCCTTTTATACTGTCTCGAAAGCAGTGAATTAACATTTAATCATTGCTGTTGAATCCAATCATCATCCAAATAAACATCGTGAGATGAGCAGTAGGACAACTAGTTCCACTATACTTTTCAAATTCGAGCATTTTAAATTTGGTTGAGAGCACCATGTTAGGAACCAAAACTAACTCCCTTGCATCCATCTCGTCTTGGGAGCTCTGCTCTTAATCCTTTTAAGTAGTCTTTGCATCAGTTCTTCAAATTCTCAAGGATCTCATTATCACATTTCTTTATTTGATTAGAATCAAACATGCTAAGATTGATGAAGTTACATTGAGGGTTTATCATAGTTTTTTGAGTCTTAGGGACGAAATAACTTGCTTGGTGGATTCGAAGCTTCTCGAGTGAGGTGATTAGCTGAGGAATAACACGTTTTGTCATACATTTAGTGGTTTATGCAGTCGGGAAAATATTCTCTTTGCCTTTTACGTTGTTGAGCCCAACC